GTCATATCGAACAATATTTTTTCAGGATGTTTTTATAGCATTTTGTAGCCCTTCGAAAGCCCTATCGAACCATATAAAAACTAGCCTAATCAGTTACCATATTCATAGCCAAGAACACCTAATTATCATTAACGGTCGGATATGATATATATATGACAGTCATTGACTATTCCAACAGTCTGGGTACTGTACAGACAAGTAGAGTAGGGCTAATTCTACTATCGATTGCTTTCCAACATCATGTGTGACAATTTTGCATATAAGAAATCAAATTTCTTGAGGGGGCCGATTTCATCAGATATCGACCCTCGTCCTTTAGAAAGCTTATGGTTTATCGTAGTATTCAATTAAAACAAAAATATAATTTTCAACTTGTAATTTCCATATTCATTAAATAAAAACTAAAGATTCAATGTTCGACGGAAAAAAAGAAACATCTCAAGGATAATTATCCAGTTTAAGAGTTAAGAACAATGACAAAAAACTAAAAAACAAGTTTAATTTGAATTATAACTATCAAGCATTTGAATTTGATCAGCTATAACTCAAAAATTATAACTCGATCAATTTTACACTCCTACTTTTTGACTCTCCAACTATCTACTCACGTCATCATAATCATAACATTCGACAACAACATTTCCAATAATTTCTTCAGCTGTTTCTCGAGTTCCAATATGCACCAAATTTCGAAAAGTTAATGTCAAATTCCATTGTGGACATAATGATTCTCGAAGAGCCTATACGAAAAAGGAGGAAATTAGCAAAGTCAAATAGAAACATTAGATGATTTACTGGTGTTGCTTGCGTTTCATTACCAACTGTAATGCTTAAATAAGGATCAGACAAACCTGTTTCATCTGCAGCAATTAACGATCTTGCTTTATAACAATGACATCGTAATTCATAAAAACTTCGTCCTAGAAAAATAATATACAGTTTCACTTCTTTAAAGTAGATACTTTTGAAAAACCCACACTATAACAAGGCTAGGTCTTTTCTAAAAGTAGTTTTTTTCTACATATCTGAAGAGCGTTAATGAATCACAAAACTTAGATATTGTTCAGTGTATTTTCAGAAAATTAACAATTGAGATACCATATAGTAGAATCTCCTATTTTGGACATAATTGAAGTTTTTCAAAAATTTTCTTTCTATGTTCCATCAAAAATCACAATCGATGACAAAGGGAAGGAATAACTTTGGGAAGATTATACCATCAGACTTTTTCATAAACAAAAACCCAAAACTTTTAGTTATTGAAGAGGGAATGTACACTCATCTCTTGTTTATATCTCATGTTTCTTTTTCAGCTCTTTATTATTTTCTAACCGGTATATCTTATAAATTTAAGTTGAGGTTGTAACGGTAATGTTGGCAAATCAAAACCAGGAGGTAAATGTTTAAATATCATCAGTTCATGTTCTTCAATTCCAAGCCAAAGATAGATTTGAACTTTTGCATTTGATGATTTATTTAATGGTTGGTTTGCTGAACGTGGTGTCTATAAATAAATAATAATTATATTATTCTGTATTTTTCTCTGTCAGAATAAAGAAATATAAATAATAACAAACTTTAAGAAAAATAGTTTGTACATGACCATTATATAAACCTCTTTCACCATGACAAATATTATAAAGAAGATCTTCAGGTTGAAAACGTGCATAAGCTACTCGTTTTGAATCAGATATCATCCATAGAAATATATCAGGTAAAGATGGCTGTACCTTTCAAATAAACAAGACAACAAAATAATTTAATCTTTCTTTTGTTTTCTATAAGGGTTATATTTACATCAGTAGCCATTTGTCGAAATGTAATAGCTATTTTATTTAATTCTTTAACAATTTCATATCGTTTTGATTCATCAAAATCAACTTCTTTTGAAATCCATGATTTAATTGATTCAAGATTAAGAAGAAGTTTTTTATGTCGTTTAGTATCTAATTGATTCATTTTAATAGTTGGCATAGTAGAATTCAATAATTCGTATAAATTTGGATGAACTGCAGGTACACTACCTAAGGTTTCACTATCTTTCATATGTTCAGCACATCCACATGGTAATGTATCAATATATTGTTCCATTTTTCGATAATCTTCCATGAGAATTTCATTTGACACTTTAGAATTAATTTTCAATTCAAAATCACGAATTTTTTTAAACTAAAAATAAGAATAAAAGAAAAGAAAAATTTTCTTAAATAATTCTTTTTTTTTTTTTTTTTTCTTATACCAAATATTCAGATGCATGTTTTAAACGATTTGATAATGTCATACGATAGATATAATCATGAAATATATATTTTGTAAATAATATTGGTTTTTGTAAATCAATTGGTAAACGAAAATAATCTTTATTATTATCAATTGATATACGTGGATAAGCTCGTGTTAATGATGAAACAGGATTACGTATTGCAGCAGATAATTCTTGTGGATTTAAATATCCACTTGGACCAATACTTAATTCAAAACTAATTGTTGTATCTCCAAATGATTTATCAATCATACTAACATCATAAATACAACCAAATAAGAGAAATGTACGTTTCATTGGAAATATATGCTATCAAAATAGAAAATATATTGATTTATATTATTTACAAAAAAAAAAAATTTTTTTTTTTAAATAATATTTACTGCTTCAGGAAATTCTATACCAGTTTCTTTTTGTATATTCATATTTGGTGTATTTTCTGCATTAATTGGATGAGATTCAATAGCCATAAATAATCGTCCTTTATAACAAACAGCTTCACCCATTCCTTCACTAAGACCATCTTGATTTGTACTTATTGTATATTCTCTTGGACTTCCATATAAAAATATCCATGTTGGACCTAATGTTGGTAAAAAACCAGCTGATGGATTACTTTCACTTATAAGAAAGAGATCAATAAGAAATGATGAAATAATACGATCTTTTTGAATAGCTGCATGATCTTTAATAGTTATTTTAATTGTTCGTGCAAGTGGTGGAAAACGACCAACTAAATAAATAGCTTCACCCCAAACAGGTGTTGTACCATTACGAGCTTCTGTTGTAGCTGTCATTGTATCATATGTAACTTCAACGTAAGGATCAATTGGTTCCCATGTATCTGATTGAAGAATTTTTTTTGAAACAGTTGCTAAAAAATCAGTCATCATTTCAGGTAATTCAGTTGCAGTAAAGAAAATTATTTTTAATTGTACTGGAAATAAACGTCGAGGCATAGCTGCAGGTACTAAAGTTTTTCTAAAGAAAATTTATTACAAAAAAAAAAAAGAAGATAAAGAGATAATAGAGAAGGAATTCGATTAGATTAAACTATTATTATTTTCATAAAATTGTGAAAGAACTAGAATGAGAATTATGTGTCCAAATCAGCATTAGTTACTGATCATTGCCACTATTTTCTATTTGTGATTAGTCACTGTCGGTCATAAATGAACGCATCATATCCAAAATATTATTGTATTAAAAACTTTAAACGAATTTTTATATTGATTTTTCCTCTTAATATTGTATTTTCATATTTTTACTATCGAAAATCGATCCAGTTGTAAAATAAATATTTTTCTGGTGAAACTCGACCAATACTCCTTGTTGGCCGTCTATTTTTTTCAACTTCTGCCTTACGATTGTCTACGGATTAAATTTTGGACGAGAAAAAAAAATGTTTGGTTAAAATATAAGTTATTCGATGCAGTTTCCTATGTTAACCCTGCATATCATCTTTAAATCGCAACAAAATTGATTTTTAATAGTTAAAATATCGAATTACCGCATTATAACAAAAAAAGTGGATTAAAAAAAATTTGTTAAAATTTCTTAATGAAAGATTCTTTGAGCATTATGCACTCATTTTAAATAACTTCTAAATAGTAAGTTTTGTAGGGCTATATATTGGATAATTTCTGAGAAAGTTTGGTACTTGATTATATTTTTCATGGTCGACACTATTGAAAAGTGACGGTAAATTCTTGAAAAATTGCATTTCTATCTATCAAAGATGAGATGAACGAAGATGTTAAGTATATGAGTTTATAGTCTATGAAAATCTTAAAAAAAAAAACCTTCAGCTGATATCAAGGATGATAATGATCACAGAAACTGATCATATTTTGGACGTCTAGTTGTGTATTTGTAGTCTTATGAAAGTAAGATATACTATATACCGCTCAATGTGTCTCGCCTTACTCTTCTACGTGTTATATGTAGTTTCCTAGTTCTGAATAGATCATATTATATAACAAGACTCTTTCTACTTACGACTGCTCAAATTTATCATCATCATGTACTCCTTCACTGACAACATTCTTTAAAAAGAATAAAACAAACAAATAAACAAATGAAAATTATACGATTAAATAAAATTCTATATACTTTCGTTGGAACGCCACGTTGAGTAACAGATATTGAAAGTAGTAAATGGCCACAAGGCGATCCAATATTTTCTGGATTAATTAATTGAGCCCATTTTCGTTCAAATGCATGTTCTTTTTCATTATATACTGTTGATATATCCACTCGAAAAATTCCTATCGGTTTTGTGTCTGTAAATGTACTGATTATTTTAACGGCATCATGAACCTTGACAAATAATAATAATAATAATAAATAGAAATATAATTTATGAGTAGTAAAATAAATCAAATATTTATAAAGTTAATCAATTAAAATATTCATAACTAAATTACTTAAACGATCAGCTATTAATTAATTAAGTTTCTAGATACATTTTTGTTTCTCTTCAGCTATTCAATATCTAATTCTATATACTTTGTAAATAAGAAATCTCATTGTTTTCGATCTACTTATTGTTCGTTATCTAAAACAAAAAGAAAGACGCATCTCATTATCTTACCTAATTTCTAGTCTTTAGCGCCATCCTCATGCGTAAATATTTTAGTATTTATCAAATAAAAATAACATTCGTTATATTTGTAACTATGGAACTAATATAAGTCTCTCAATGTCAAAGTACAAATAACGCTCTACGAGCAACTAATAAAACAATCAAAGAAGATAAAAATGTTTTCGAAAGAGTTTTCAAAATTTCTTTCAATACCATCAATAATTAGTCAACCGAATGAGATCTATATCCTTAGTTAAAGCAAGAATATTTACTATATAAATGATTGTACGATGAAATAAAAATGATTTTAAACACACGAAAAAAAAGATGACAATGATTTAGATTAGAAGCCCTTGAGATGTAACTGTCTAATTGTTTTCAAAAAACGCATATATTCAAACACATTGTGTGTATGACGATTTGTTTGAAATATAAATTACTAACAACAGCATGGGCTAAATCTATCTTACTTGATGTAATAATTGAGTTTTGTCCTATTTATTCTTCGTTTTATTTAAACTAATTTTCTATTAATGTGTTTTGTATCTTTTTTTTACTGTCACTTTTATTTAATAAACTGATCATTTTGTCATAAATCATTAATAATTTTAGTAATGACTGTTGAATATTTTTTTACGGTTTATTTCATCTATGTTACTGCTGATTCAGATGATACTCATAATAAATAAAATATCATGAAAAGAAAAAAACCTACTTTAATAAGTATAATTTTTTCCATAAACTTTGTGGCTGGTAGTATAAAATCAAATGTGAAGAACTAAAAAATAAAAAAAAAATTTAATATTGATTTTTTCTTTCTCGAATATCTTACTTCACCAAAATATGGTGAATTGCAAGACCTTTGTATACTTGTATATCGTTTTTGATCATCAATTTGAACGACAACATATGGATTAATACTAAGTCCTGGCAAATCTCGTCCTTGTATAACATGTATCATAACTTGCCATTCGGTCATTTCGTACATATCACCAACATATCGTCCCAAACTAACATTCAATTAAAATTATATTAAAACAAAATGTTTTTTTGTTATAAAAATAAGAAACTCTGTTTTTTTTTCTACCTTTTTTCTAATAATTCTAAATTCGCATGTTTCTTTTTTATCTTTTCATTTGCATTAATAGTTTCAGCTGATTTTTCAGAAATTTGATCTGCTTCAAAATCTGAATCACTATATGAATCAGTGTCAGCATTATCTTCACGACCGGTTAATTTTTTACCAAGTTTTCTCCTATAATAGAAACAAAAAAAAAACTATAGATTGATTGATATTAATTTAAATAGTTACAATGGGCCATCATGTTTTGAAATAACATGTCTATATCGGTGACCACCATGTCGTCCTTCGTCATCAAAAATACTTTTCCAATCGACTAATTCCACTGTGTCACCATAACCTAATGCAGCAAGTTGTTTTTCAATATCTGGTGGTGTATAATAAAGTTTAAGTTGTACCGTTGATGGTAATAAATAATTATTTGGATCAGATAAATTTTCATCACGTAAATCAATATATTTCGAATCAATTAAAGATTCGAGTACTATTTCAAAAATTGCTGTAAGTTTTTTTCGTTTTTTCTTTGCATTTATCATATAAAATTCGATACGTAATTTATCATCTGGTACTAAAGCAGTTGCTAAATTGAAATTAAACTTCTTTGGTTTGTTTCCACGTGCAATAAAACTTGCTGTACCATTACGTATGCGCACATTATTAGACCATAGATTAATACCTTAGATGAGAAATTTTGATTCAATTGTAATTATTCAAAACTTATATTGAGCAAAGAACTACTAATTATTCATATTGAAATATCATATATTAGTTTTCTTACAATTTTTTTAATATGATTATTAGATTTTATTTTTATTGATTTCTTTTTGAGAGAATTTATTTTCCTTCATTTACATATATGTTCGATATATTTTTGAGTATATAAATTTAATTCAATGAAAATTGATATTGTAAACATAAAATATATACATGAGGGATTTTATCATGCTTTCTTACAAATAAGCAATACGATAAAAGATCAACATAATAGTTGACGCAATTATAGATCAATTATTCGTTCTATAAATTCAAAATATTTGAAATGTATATTTCGAAAGCAACATAATAGATGAGAATGAACGGTCGATAAGTCAACGTGTGTTAAGTCAAGGACAAATAAAAAACAAAACTTATGCGGCATTTAATACACGATTAAAAAACTAATATTTTCATTTTGTACGTTTGGTCTGTACTGCTGACAATATATCTTAGTATCTATAAAAACTGACAATAGCACTTATTACTTTTAGTTTCAGTTATGGACGATTTCAGAAAGCATTTTCTGCCTGAATTCAAATTATCTATTGGTAATCATTCAGTTTCAGAATCAATTTTATTAGTCGAAACTTCTGTAGCATTATCTAATAATAAAAGTTTATCTCATAACTCAGACTAATTTGCATTTGCCAGTTAGTACGGATGGCTTAGATGTATCAAAAAAAACTTAATTCTTCGTGTTTATAAAGATTTCCAAAAGAACACTACTGGTATATCGTACATGATACCGATGAATACACCAGCAGTAATATGTGTACATCATGAAATTGACAAAAAGAATTTGAAAGAAAAGATACATTCGAAACGAACAATTTGAATATTAAAATAAATTATGTTTGAGGGTATTTAATCAATATAGTAAATGGATATGGATAAAGCAAGGTCAATTTTTTTACTGGAAACGAGTGATACATATTGTACTGCTGTCACAAAATCATTTTTCAAATGAAAATACGACAGTGTATTTTT